TCTAGAATATTCTGATCGGCAATATTTACCATATTAGGAAATTGATCACCAAGATATATTTGGTAAATTCCCTGACTATATTAAGTTTAGGTTAGTTTGTATTTATCAGCATATAGACAAAGTTTATATTTTTGAGAACTTGAAAGAGTTACTTTTTTTTATAGATATCATATTAGGAAAAAAAATACAAAATTACTAAAAGAGTACGTAAAGAATACTATCAATTAATAAAGTGATTTCATGATATTAATTTAAACAAAAAAAGAAATAGCATCATATATTTTAAAAAAGAAATAGTATCATGATATTAGGCAAAAAGGGGTATTAATCAACAGGTTATAAAATCGAAGTCAAATATGAAGTTTGGAATTAAAAGAGTCAGAAGTAGAATTTGAAATAGAAAGTTATAAAAATTGGAATTGTTAGAGGTTAAAAATATTTGAATTGAAAGGAATTAGAAGTTAGGGTTTGAAATTAGAGGAAAGTTGTTAGAAGTTGAAATTAGAAGTTGGTAGTGATTGTAATTAGTTGTTATTGTTAAAGTTTAGCGGTTGTTTATTGAAGTTGATGGTTATTATTAAAGTAGATTAAAAAGAAAAGTATATTTTTACTTTTTAGCAATAAATTTCTAATTTTTTTTTAGTAATACTGAAAAATGTATAATAATAAAATATTTACGATACATACAGATAAACTGAAGTTCATAACCTTAAAAAGAGAACAAGGCTTAAAGAATAATATGATTTTAACAATATCATACAATTTATATCATCATTCTAAGAAACAATTTAAATTATTATTTCAAGGAATGATTTACGATAAGAGATATTATTAATGTTAGAAAACAATTGCAGTTAATTGATATATATTATATTATATAATTAATCAGCTTAGATTTTTTTCTATGTACTTTTATTTTTTTTATTTTTTTTAGCTTTTTTTTTTCTTTTTTTTTTTTAGAGACAACCCACTTTTAAACCTTTTAGAAGGGAGTGTTTTCTATCTGATAAGTACAATATTGAGTATAGTGATACAAGAAGAGCTTGTTTTATTTTCAAGAATATTTATTAATATTTTTTCTTTTTTGTAGGTTTTCTGGACTCTAGAATTGTCCTAAATGGTAAGTATTATGTAGTGAAATTTTTTCTTTTTTGTATAAATGACTCTTGGACCCTGAAATTCTTATGAAAAATGCTAGAAGATAAGTTTTGGATTGTTGGATAGGAATTTTTCTTTAAGAACTTTTGCTAACATTCTTTTATTTTTTTTTTGTAAGAATGCAGTTTCTTAGACTTCAGAAGGTAAATTTCAGGTTATTGGTAAGAATTCTTTCTTTGAGAACATTTATTAATATTCTTCTTCTTTCTTTTATATAAGAACATGACTTCTTGGATTTCAGAACCATTCTGGAAGGTAAATTTCATATTCATAGGTGTGATTCTTTCTTTAGGAATGTTTATTAACTTTCTTTTTTTTTTTTTTGTAAGAACATGACTTCTTGGATTTCAAAACTATTCTGAAAGATAAGTTTCAGGTTCGTGAGTGTGATTCTTTCTTTGGGAATATTTATTAACGTTATTTTTCTTTTTTTTTTATAGAAACAACCTCTTAAATTGCCTATTTATTATGTGACAGTCACGTGCTTATCACGTGAAATGCATTTAAAGAGATGATTGCATATATAGTTCAGACTAAAACATCATTGCATAGTGTAAAAAGTAAGGGTATGCATTTAGCATTAAGTCCCAAGCTTGGAACTGACTGTATATATTTCATATGTATCCAAAAATGGAATATTTAAAATGTGATTTTTATGTCTTATATCTTTAACTGAATGTGATGCAGAAAGTATCACATAGGTTTTAATTAATATTTTTAAAAAGAAGGGAATTTTATTTAAAGTTGTAGTATTTATCTCAGATGGTGCTTCAGTTATATTAAGAAAAAATGAAGGTGTTGTAGCAAAACTTTCTATAGTATATACTTATCCTTTAATTGTTAATCATTGTGTGGCTCATAGGTTGGCTTTGGCATGTAAAGATGTGAGAAAAGAAATTGAATTTTATAATGAAGCTGAATTATTAGTTAAAAAAATTTATAGTTATTTTAAAAATTTATATTCACGTATTCAATAATTAAAAGAAATTCAAGATCTTTTAGATTGTCTTATTTTAAAAATAAAGAGATTATATGAGATACATTGGCTTGCATGGTATAATGCTATTAAAAATATTTGTAATTCAATTCCTGCATTACTTAGAGTTTTTAAAGAAGCAGAAAATGATAAAGGATAAGAATTATATATTAAATTAATGTCTTGGAGAATGTTGGCATATTTATATTTTTTTTATGATATTTTAGAATATGTAATACAGTTGTGTAAATTTTTTCAAAAAAGAAATTTACGATTTTCAGATATAGATCCAATGATACAATCTATAATTAATTCTATTCAAAAGGAATACTTATTGGATGATCGATCACAAAGATTTGGAGATAATGAATTAGAAGATTCATTAGAATATTATGAGCATCCAAATATTCATAATATTATTTAAAAAACTATATAAATAAAATTTCCAGCATTTATAAAATTTGCCGGAAATCTGCTGAAAAAGTTCCGGATTAAAAAAATTTTCCCGGATTTATTAAAAATCTTTCGGAAAATCCGGCAAAAATTTGAATGAGTTAAATCATGTGATCATTAGCCAATTATAATTTGTATCTAAAGATCCAATCAGAGATAGCTTAATTTTTCGCGATAACGTGTCAAATATTTACCATACGCGTTATTTTTTCTCTATATCTGTTTTACGATTCTTAACATTTCTAAAAAAA